TTTAATCTTCTGGGGGTTTCTGGGTAGAAGAGTGGAGAGATCGGCTGCGTCTGCATCGCTGCCAGAGTAGAGCAGTGAGGTGAGACCTTTCCAACAGCACAGACCAGAGAAGAAGGCCTTCACTGCCTTGCCCCAAGAGGAAAAAAAAAATGAAGTGAGGGGACCAATTCAGATGTTAAACCCAGTGAGGGATCCTTGTAGGGTCTGAGGGTGGTTGGAGAGCTGCTGGGAGAAACAGGTAAGGTTGGGAGGATGGACTGATGGAGCGCTCCGTGGAGACCACCAGGATGCACATGCTGGCTGGGGATGAGGGGGTTAGGCAAGGGAGTCAGTGACCTGCCCAGTGAGCATCATGCATCTCAGCACATCCATCCAGGTGTACCTTAGCAACCCCAGTTGCTCCACGAGCCCATGATTGCTGCACATCAAAGAGGATTTTTGTGAAAGAGATTCAGGATGGACACAGTAGCAGAGCAGAGAGCTCATGGCTACTCCAGCCACCAAGCCTGAGCTGTCTCTGGGTCAGATGGTTTCCTGTCTGCCTCTTCTAGTGTCCCTGGTCTCTGCTTGCCAGCTTTGCCCTCCTTCAGGTCCCTACCATTCTTTTCTCCATCTTATCTGTGTCATTTGCTACTTTTCCTTTAACTCCTAGGGCCTACCCTCAATCTTTAAAGCAATATCTGGCCAGCCTATGTCTTTTATTTAATTGTCATTAAAGTCCTGATCTTCATCTACCCCAGCAGGCTCAGGAGTGTGGGTGACCTGTATCATTTGGGAATGTTGGAAGCCTGCAAGCTATTTACTTAAGGGCTGTGGAAAGACCCTAGGGAGCCCACAATCCCCTCAGGGGCCTGCCAGTTGTTGGGGCTAAAATACAGATTATATCGGGATAGTCAGCTAGGAAAGGCCAGGAGAATGGCTCCCTCTTGCCAGTGACATCCGGGTCTCAGAATTCCAGCCATTTGCTTGGACAGATTACCTGGTGAATTATTTACCCCTCACTAGATAAAAGTGGCCTAGAATAAAAGAAGGCAAGGAGCCTGACTAACTACAGAGAGAACGTGTGTGGGGGTCGGAGGATGGGGGATTTCCCACTAAGGAAGCTGGTGAGCCAGCTGCCCAGACTTCTCCTGTCCCTGGGAAGGCCCAGGAAGCCTGCTGCAAGCCTGCTGCTGCTCTCCCCTACCTGGGAGCAGGCAGTCAGTGCTCTGCTACCTGGCTGCCTGCCTTCACCACAGTGCCTCTGGCTGGCTTCTGGTGTTTTGTTGACATTAATTATGCACAGCAACAAGGTGCCCAGGGCCTCCAGCAACTCTTTTAGTATCACCTGTTGGCTTTACTGTGTTCTGCCCAGAATCTTAGCAAAGCCTTGGTATTTCCAGCCCTGCAAATGGCAAGGCAGGCTTCAATTTTTTGTTTCCAATCACCTGTCTTTTCTGGGGATGGCCCTTGGTTTTCTTTGTCTCTAACCCCCCCCCCCCCCCCGGATATTTGTTTTTGTGTTTTGACTACCCCTTTCCCGCCCTTCCTGGCTTTCTCATTTCTCCTTGCCTGTTCTCACTCCGGATTTAGCGTCAATGATCGCATCTTAGTCTGAAGCTGAGCTTATTGGGAACACAAGAAAGGACAACCCAGACGCCTGGTACCCCATGTTCTTTTCCACTAGTGTGGCTGTGGTGTGGAGGAGAGAGCACCATGGGACGGGTGCACTCCTCTCTAGCCCAGTGACCTTGGAGGCCACACAGTTCCACTATGCAAAAACCTGAACAATTTGGAAAATCTTTGACCCAGCAATTTGATTTGTGGCTTAAGGAATTAATTATGAGTTTCAAACATACCTATATACCTCTCTCTCTCTCTCTCTCTCTATGGAGAAAGAGAGAGAGAGATGAAGGGAACATGGATCTTGGGAGATGTGGAGGGGGCAGAAGGGGTAGGGGCTGTCCCAGAGACCTCTGGATTTTATCATTTGTTCTTGTTGAATTTCCAGTATAGTGTCTTCCCGTTTGACTCCAGCCTAGCAAATTTGCAGGGCTCAGGTATTGGGAAGTCTTCTGTGTAAGTATCTATAAAATCAATTTGCTAATTTTTTTGCAAAAAAAAAAAAAAAAAAAAAAATAGCCCACAATAAAATTAAGCAGACCCAAAGTCTGAACATTTCAATAGTTAGAATATGAAGATATTATAGACTAGCTTCATGTTAATATAGAATATAAGTAATATTTGTATTATATATGAATATAATATGAAGATGTGGAGCTGCATATTAGATTTTAAGTTTTCAGCATCAAATATATTTTATGCTCATATCCTCCACCAAAAAAATGAAAAAAACTGCACGACAGAGTTGAAGTAGAGAACCAATTAGCTTTATATCCTCTTTCATGACTCCTGACCTTTGCCTACATTTAGGCCTTTCTTCTCACGTAGTTGTTCCCCTTTCGTGTTCTCCTGTCTACATGTTATTCTGTGCCCACAAGCACACTTGTTTACATATAAGCATATATTATGGCCAGGTCCCACATTTGAAGGAGAATATGTGGCTTTTTTTTTTTTTTTAATGTGATCTTGTTTAATGCTATCCAGTCCAGGCATTCCAAGTTCTTCCATTTTCTGCAAATTTTGTAATTTCAGGTTTTTTTTAGAGCTGAATTGCCTCGCACATGCAATCCCCCCCCCCCCGCTGTTTTCATGATTTATTTATCTGTTGATGGGCCAATAAGTTGGATTCAATTGTTTGCAATGGTGAATAAAACAGCAATAGAAATGCGGTTAAAAAATCTCTATGGTAAGGCATATGCCCAGGAGTGAAATAGCTGGGTCATACGGTAGTTCTATTTTTAGTTTAGTTTTTTGTTTTGTTTTGTTTTGAGAAAGAGTCAAACTGATTTCCACAATGGCTGTATTAATCTGCACCTCCCACCAACAGGGAATTAGTATTCCTTTCTCCCCACATCGTCTTCAACATTTGTTGTCAGATTTGTTGATTGGATGGTATCTCAAAGTAGTTTCAATTGGTATTTCCCATCAGGCTGGGGATATTGAAGACTTGAAAATACCTGTTAGCCCTTTGCGTTTCTTTCTGTTTTCTTTTTTGGAAATGATCTATTCAGTTCCTCTGCCTATTTGTTAGTTGACAGTTTTGTTTCCTTGGATTTCAGTTTATGCAATTCTTTGTAATTCTGGATATTAGCCCTGTGTCTGAAGGGTAACTGGCAAAGATTTTCTCCCATTCTGTGAGCTGTGTGTGTGCCCTGCTGGCCATTTCTGTTGCTTGTGCAGAAACTTTTTATTTTCCTGCAGTCCCATTTGTTAATAGTTGCGGTTAGTTCCTGTGCTGTTCGTGTTCTGTTAAACCTTCTTGCCTACCCTGATGGAGAGTACCCTGTGTTTCCTTCTAGAAATCAAGGTTGTTTCCGGTTTTAAATAAAGATCCTTGATCCATTTTGAAATGAGCTTTGTCTAAGGTGGGCGTGTGGATCTAATTTCATTTTCTGCAGGTGAAAATCCTGTGTTGCCAGTCCTGTTTCTTAAACAGGACACCCCTGCCACCCCACCCCCAATCTGGTATGTTTTCATCTCCGTTGTCAAAACCTCGGTGGGCACAGTGTGGCATTGATTTCTGCGTCCTTTTTTTCTATTGCATTGGTTGCCCTATCTGTTTTGATGCCAGTACCAGGTAGTTTTTTATCGTTATAGCACTACTATTGTATAGTAGTATACAATACTATAGAAACAGTATAATATAATATAATATTAATATAATATCTGAGGTCAGGTATTGGAATGCCTCCAGCTTTACTTTTACTTTCTAGGATTGCTTTGGCTAGTCATGTTCTTTTGTGGTTTCATATGAATTCTTGAATTGTCTTTCTGCAAACTTGTGAGATATGACATTAGGATTTTGATAGGTCTTGCATTAGATCTGTTAATTAATTTTTTGGTGGCACATCCATTTTGACAACATTAATTCTGTCAAACCAGGAACATGAACGGTTTCCCCATTGTTTAGTATTTTCTGTGGCCTCCTTTTTTTAATATCTTGAAGTTTTTGTTGTAGAGGTCTTTCACTTCTTTGTTTTGATGTATCGCTAAACATTTAACTTTTGGGAGGAGGGGAGTGATAAAGTTTCAAATACTATTTGTAATTAGCACAAAAAGAATTAGACGCCAAGCCCTTGAAGATCATGTAGAATTTATAGTCTAACTATGTAGGGCACTGGACATAGATCATGGAGGACCCAGGGGCACGTGCATATTATATCACCATTAAATGACACTGCAGAACACCATGAGAACTCACTGTGAATCACACCCCAGCATTTCCCATCTTTATAAAAGATCTGGCTGACAAAAAAGATGAAAAACAAGAATCAGAAAGGATATGCTTATCATGTGTAGTTTTCTCTTTCTTTTAACCTAAATTTTACTGCTATTATCTTTAAATGTATAAATGGAACCTATATTTCTTTGGCACAAGGTAAGATTCAGTTACTTTAATATTTTCACTCTATCTTCTAAGATGTAATCTGTGGATTGGGAAATCAGACCCAGCCAGAATGCTTCTGCAATGAATGAGAAGTTACACTTACGTTTGTAAGAGTAGAAACAGTGTATTGTTGGTTGGGGAACTGAGCAGGTTTGATGAGATTAACAAAACTGCAGGTTTTGTCTAGACACAGGATGTCTTCTTTGTCTGACGATGTCTTCTTACTTTGCTTTCTCGATCCTAATACTGAGTAGCATCAGGATTCATTGGCTTTAGTAAAGTCTGCTTTACTCAGTTTGTAACTCAGACTGAGCAAAAACAGGTGGGCATCAATTGGGAAGAGTCATCACTTTCCTTCTTCCCGGAAGTGATGAGCCCTGAAAGGGCTCTGAAGTGTGAGTTACTCGGGCAGGGAAGAGGGAGCAAGGGAGAGAGGCAAGGCTGCCCACTCTCATGTTTGTATTTATACCTGTGCCTATGAGCTCAGCTTGCATTCTTCTTTTCCCTGCAGGCAGGGGTAGAGTCCACTGTGCCAAGCTCAGCAGCCGGTGGCCCAGAGAGAAGCAACCAGTGCCTCGGAAGTCAACTGAAATGAACTGGCCCCCTTGAGCCTTTCCAATACCTGGTAACCACTTTCCATCCCAATGCTGAGGTAAGAACCCCTAAATCCAGCTGGAAGGAAAGGGTGCAATGCCTCTTTGGGGGAAAGGCAGTGGGAATTCTCTAAGGCTCAAGGGAGAAGGAGTAGTTGTTTTTAGTTCCAACCATCTCAGCTCACACAGAGGCAAAGTCACTGGAGGCCAAAGGCTTTGATTTGTAAGGTGCAGAACTTCCAGACTCTTCCATTTTTCTCCAAGGCTAAGGAAATTGGAACCCTAAGGAGAATGAACTTAACCCTCAAGGTAAGACTACAGAAGATTCAGAAGGATGTTCCTATGCTGTGTTCTGCACAGGAAAGCGAGCTCCCAGGAAACACGTGCATATGCGTGCATGTTTACACAAGCTCATACACACACACACACGCACATGCGCACAGGTCAACCTAAGAGACACCGATAACACAAATTACGCAGGAAGGTGATGGCAAAGCATTCCAGTAGGTTTACCGGAAGCCATTTTAATTAAACTTACCTGTTTGCTGGATATAGAGGCTGTAAGTACTCCTTGGACATTTGGAAGAAAATGAAGCAGGTCCAAACCAGTTCTGTGTTAGCATCCTCTACACTAAGGAAGGATGCTGGTGCTTTCTGCGTGGAGTTGAAAGAACGACCCCTTGAGGGGCCAGGAGAGCTTACTTCTCATCCAGAAACTCTCAGGGCTGCTTCAAAGCATTCAGGATTTTTCTTCCCAGCATATTTTTATTGATTTTTTTGGGAGTTTCACATAATGTACCTTGATGACATTCACTTTCTAGTAGTCCTCCTACTACCCTTGTGACCTCCTCCAAAAGAAAGAAAGAAGAGGAAAGAAGAAGAAAAAGGAGGAGAAAAAGAAGAGGAAGAGGAGGAAGAGGAAGAAGAAGAAGAAGAAGAAGAAGAAGAAGAAGAAGAAGAAGAAGA